GTAATTGCCCCATAAAAGATTATTAAAAAAATGAATATTTACCAAACAGGTCTAAATCCCTGACAGAAAGCTGTAAAGTCAAAATGATGTGATCCGCCTTCTACTTGATTGGTACTATGAACTCCTCCTGAAAATAGAAAAAATTAATTAATCAAGGTAAGTGAAATAAAAACTTTCATGGATGATGAGTCTTACCTGTTTATTAATAACAATGTGACCGATTGTTATATAATCTTTACTAAGGAAACACTTAATAACACAACCATTATATTCGAGTTATGCCAGTTCTCAAGTTATAGAGTTAGGTTACAATTTTTGATTACTAAGAAACGAAAACATGATATAGGAATCATATATATTCAAGTTGAGCTAGACATCTTTTAGAACTCGTGTGACCTTTTTCAGGACATTTTTTGTGTGGTTTTAATGGTGTTGTTCTCATATCTATGAGATAATTGAACCATCAACATAAAAACTAAGAAAAAAGAAATCGCTGCTTTTCCATCGTTCACTGCCATTCTGCCAATATCGAAGAACACATGAGGAACTGTCTTTTATATTGCTTTTGATTGAAATTCATGTTTCTTAAATGATTCAACTGATTAATACCAACTATAACAAAATTAACATATAAATTTTATATTAACTATACTGCAATGTTATTTTAAGTTCTTTAATAAAAAAAAGATAATAATATTATTTTAAATTATTAACATACTATAATTTCATCATAATGAAATGTTTGTTCACTTCTTCAACGTTTAGCCACAAGCTCTCCTCGTCTTCTCGTGTCTCTAGTTTTATGTTTGGCTGTTTTTGGAGCCATCGAATAATTCAAGTAGGGATGATAAAATGGGTGGATCAGACTCATTCCATTTAGATCAGTTGCATTTAGACCCTAAACTCGTAACCCGTTTAGATCAATTAGTTTTTGGGGGTACATGGTGATTTGGAGAGTCATGCCACCTCAGTTGATTTAGAAGAACACAAATACTTGCTACTAACTACCTGCCTAATTAAGTTTAAAAAAAAAAAAAAACCTACCTGCCTAATTGTGGTTTTGTGTTTCATTTATATGGAAGAAGAAAAATTCAAGCTTCTCTAAGCGGCACAGTTTGATCAATATTTGAAGAGAGGCTTTTTGAAGATTTGTGAATCAATGTCATTAATTTTAAAGTGTTAAGCTAGATCAAAGACTTACATTGCATCCTTACATTGGATAATAAAATATAATGAGAGAAAATGATTTTAATATTTTATGTGGTCGTTTTTTTTGTCTCTGTTAAAAATGGCCCCTTAATTATCCTTTTCTATAGGAAAATGATCAAAAAAATCCCTAACTTTTTCTCAATTTCACAAAACAAATTCTCAATTTTTACGTTAGCAAATTAAATGCCGAATTCTCTGTTCACTCGATATAATTCTTCTTTAGGAGGAGTTTTTTTTTTTAGTTACGGTTTTCGAATAAATAAATAAATGGATACAAGGTTTATGAGCCAGAAAAAACCATTACAACAAGAAATTAAATGAACCTCATCAAAGAAACTTTATGAGTAGTAGGAAGAACAATTTTAAGGGTTAAGATCAGAGATGAAAGGATGTTTAGGTGCCTTGGCTTTTGTGGATGGTGCCCTGAAGTAGTGTTAATGCCAAGCTTGGATTAGAATGCCTAAAAGACGAAGCTCTATTTCAGATAGTGCGATCGATTGAGTTGAACAGAGGTTTGCCTTGAGTTCGTATGTAAACGACGATCTCTCTCTTTCTAAAATCTCGAGATAGAGAACGCTGGCATGAAGTCTCGAGCTAATCATGCGATCGCGAGTCGGATTCCTGTCTAGAACAAACAACAATGTAGCAAATTTTTGTCAGGGAATACCTCTACGCTGCCAGACTGATTTGAACCAGGAGAACTAAGGGAGCATTCGGTCTGATTTTGTTCCAGAGCTTACAAAAGAGTCACAAGCAACTCCATCTATAGACCATATCATTTTATCCTCAACATCGGTCAATAAGATAAGAGTAAGAGCCAAGTAAAGAAGAACATGAATGTCAGATCTAGTTGATGGTAGATTCTAACGATTACAACTAAAGACAGAGGAATGTTTGGCATATAATGGAACTTTTTTTGGAGACACTCAACCTCTTTTTGGAGGAGTCCCCATATTTACCTTCCCTTACTAACCTCAACTCAAATTTTATAATCAGTTACAAATCATTTTCGGGCCTGTTAGTGTTAGTTGAACCACCTCATTTGTATAAGCTGTGAGATAGGTGATCCTAAGTTCTAACCACATAAAATTATTATTTTTCGGCAGGAGAACATCCTCAAACATTATAAAAAAAAGATACTTAATTCCGGTTAGTGGATTATTGGTTTTTAGTTGTAGAAATAATTTTATGTAGGGCTAGATTCTAGATGAGATATCAATATCCTTCCAATGTGAAATCATTTAATTACTTCCATTTGATCAATCAATGGTCCTATTTATTAGAAAACTCGATGAATGGATTACTCGAAAATTATATTCACTCTGGAAAATCAATCGAATGGTTACAAAACTCGTATAACTCTGTAATTATCGAAAAATAATAAT